TTAGAGTAAGTTGTATTAAAAATGGTTAGATCTTACCTAGGTGTTTATGTGATGGAAACTTATGGACATTATGGCCTAGCATTAAGCTATAGATTGTTAGAGATTCTTAATGCTTATTTATATTAAGCGGTTTTTTCGTATAGCTTTGAAACGTTACATCTCGTTTTCTTGTGGTAAATATTTTACATGGATCTAAGAATGGGATGCTTTAATAAGTATGTCGTCTAAGTTGGGTGGATCTTTGTCTTCTAAATGTGTAGTAACTAATTGGGTATTGTGATAGGTTCTTAAACTCAAAAATATGTATTTGAAGGGTTTTTACATTGTAGAACGAATACGTATTTTCAATCTTGAGCCATTGGTTATTTAGTTATGCTTTATTACTCGTCGTTGGTTTGTTATGAAACGTACCACAACCGAATGCAAAGTATTATATATTTGTCTTCTTCGATTTACAATGAGCACAGCCCTTACTGATTCTCAGATATTATACGTTTAGATTATATTTATAATTATTGTATTATTTCAAAAGAGTTGGTCCGCGGTACATGTGAAATGTTATGTAATTTTTAACTATTTAAAATATCAATTATTGTCTCTGGTTCATAGAGTTAGCTGATTGTTTTTAAAATTTATTTGGTATTATTTGGAACATAATTTTGGATATCATTGTGTTTTTGCTGTTCTCTTAAAAATTTGTTATATTCGTCAAGAAGATACCTAGCATGTTGTTATTACAGTAAAACCTCTATAAATTAATAATGTTGGGGATTTAAAAATTTATTAATTAATAGAGATATTAATTTACAAAAGTTTCTTTATTTAGACTTTTTATTTTAAGATATATTTATTCTAAGATAAGAAAATATTTGATTTTAGTGTATAGACATTAATTATTATATTTTTGAAATTTGACATTTTTATTAATTTTATTATATTATTTGGTGTATATATATATATATTGCATAAAACTTAAATGTGATTTTAAATATAATATTACTAAACATCATCAAAATTATAGAAAGTGTTAAGAAGATATAAAGATAATTTCATTGTGAATATAAAACAACAATATCATGTAGGTTCTTACCTATATAAAATATGTATACATATATATTATTAATTTATAATTTTAATGGAACCATATATTTACATATAAATTTCGAAAAAATTATAATCTTATTATTTTATCGATTTGTGTCAAATTTTGAATTGGCCCAAACTGGGACTAACAAAATTTATTAATTTATAGAGATTATTAGTTTATCGAGTATTAATTTATAGAGGTTCTACTGTATTAACGTCGAGATCATAGGCTGAGTCAGCGTTTATGGCATGACGATCGTGCTTCCTATTTTGTTTATTGCTTTGCTTATAAATGATTTAATGTTTATAATATATTTTCTTACGACTATAATATCTATTATATCAAAAGAGAAGTCATGACTCACTTTATGTGTGATATTTTAGTTTGGACCATCTTTAGAGTTTTATAAAATTTTACATAACATTATAATATCATTTTATATCTTTAATTTTTGTTTGAAATACAAATAAATAGTTTTAAGAAAATTCTAACAAAATCTTTTAAAAATCTTTTTCGAGATATAGTTTCAAAAATTATTTGATTAAAAATTTAATTATCATAAAATCTAATTATCATAAAATATAATTAAAATTTTAATTCATTTTTAATTTATAAACAAAAAAGTAAAATTATGTAAAATAATTTTAAAATATCCCAAAATTTTTGTTTATGTATTATGTAGGTCCAACTTAATTAATTTTTACGTAGATTTCAAATTTAGAAATAAAATATATATATATAAATTAGTAATCTTACATAATAATGTTTTTAAAAATTATTACAAAAATAAAAAATTTCTAAATTTTATATTAATAATATTATAAGTCACATAAAAATGATTATAAAACTGGATAGCATAAAAAATCAAATTATACTTATTTATTGATAAATTTTATTATATAATTTCAAATATTTTCATATTAAATACCCGCATGGTTGTGCGGGTCGAAATCTAGTATTTTATTAAATTGTAATAAGTGAAGCTAATATAAGGGGTCTTCTAATATATATAAATACTCATTGTTCTAAGTACAACTAAATTATATCTCTTTGAAAAAAAAAATCTGATTAAAAAGAATAAAACAAGTTTTTGAAATGTTCTAAATATTTCAATGCACTAAAACTTCTATGAAAATATTAATATTTACTATATTATTTGTTAAACTATAAAAAACAATATATTACAACCTAACTATAATCAAAATATAATTATGTATTAAACTCAGTTTAAAAAGATAATCAGGATATTCTCAATATATATGCACAATTTATTTAATTTTGTTATTACATATTATTTTGTTGCAGACAAAAAAGTATTTTTTTTTACAATTACTATATTTTTAAAATACCAAATTACGATATTACATTGTTATTAAAAATAAATTTTAATATACTTTCTAACTTAATCTTTGGCTTTCTATTTTTTGTTTACAATAATAAGTGTTAATGCATCTGTTTAAGGGTGTAAGTTAAATTTGAATATATTTTTAGTCCAACAGTATGATCCAGAAATATTATTTTCATTTTTTAATATCCAGTAAAAACAATTTTACAATCTAACAAATACATACATATATATATATATATATTATTCTTTTATCTAATGTGATATATATTATTTTCATTTTTTAATATCCAGTAAAACCTTTTTTACAATCTAACAAATACATATATATATACATATATAGAATCGGACAATCTAGTTAATACATATGTACCCAAGAGTCATTGGATAAAATTTCTTGTCTGATGTGTTTGGTATATCGGATGAATTACAAATTACCGAATAACTAAAAAAAAAAAACTAAAATAGATTAAGGTTTTTTAAACAGTAAAAACCTGCAAATTTAGTTCTAGTTTCTAATAGATTAATAATTTTTTATATGCTAATACATATATAGTGTAATCACTTCTGAAAACCTTGAAAATGGATGATTTTGAATGATAATGTGAATGAAAAAGTGATAGAGTTCTAGAATATTCACCACCTGGATCTTCAAGTAACATTTGCTATAATATTAAAAAGTGACAATAAAACTGTTCGTGTGTTGACAAAAAAAACTGTTTCAGTGTATTGTGAAATAAAATTATAATGTAGTTTAATAGTCATCTAAATACATGTCATCTAAAAAACATTTCACAACTTGTGCTTCTAGCTTTCACAACTTGTGCTTCTAGCTTTCACAGATTGATAGTAATATAGTCCGATACAAATATAGTTGCAGGGGCTGAGGAATGAATAAGTCGCCAAGGTTTAAGATGTTCGAAAGGAGAACCTCCAAAAATGCATTGGTGAGCTGGCCATCAACATGAGCTGTTTCTTACACTAAAACTGTTCCTAGACATTGTTGTGAAATGTTGCTGGCCATCTGCAGTTGGAAGTGAGAATATAGGAATTAAGTTCTAACACTGTCTAAGAGTTCATGACTGACTGGCCATCAACATAAGCTGGTCGTCGTTACAGAAGCAGAAAACTCTATCAGGATAAGGTCCCTGCTTGTGGAGCTTTATTGAGCCGGTGCACGCTGATTGTCTTGTCCCCTGGATCAGAGTTGACTATATACAAAAAAAAAACTTGAGACAAACGAAGTATCATAAGTATAGAAAAAATAGCAACTATCAGAAACCCCTCGAGTCCTGAATGACTCATCATCAGATATCTACAATAATTACTTTCAGCATAACTAAGAAACCACAACGACCTGAACATTAAAATCTTAGTAAAATCAACGAAATAAACACTAAAAAGAAGAAGGATGATGGGCAAGGAATCATTTGAACCAAAACAGTACCAAAACAAAGATTCAATCTCAAAATACAATATCAAGTTCAAGTAATATAGGAATCAAGAACTGAGAAAAGAAACGTACTCGGTTATCTTTCCATCAACCCTCCACCTTTCTTGAGGTTGCGAGCTTCCCAGAACCAAAGGAGCCTTGTTACAACGAAGTTCCTACACCGCCTTCAACCATTATCAGATACTGGTTAGAGATTTAGGGTTCTACGACTGAAGGGGCGGACAAAATAGATGGCTGCAAAGACTGTCAAACCCTCTATATATATACGCCAGACGGGAGCTTGAAGGAAAAGCTAAGAAGCATTGAACTCGAAAAAAATGTCAGACTTCAGGAGATGGGAGATGTTACGGTTATGGAAAAATTTGTGGTATCTCTGATATCGCAGAGGTCGAACATGGATGAGAAACACAAACGATGGGGAAAACTCTAATTTTATAAGGGCCAAATAAATTTTACATGAAGATGGGCTTAGAGTGTAAACAAAGTTCAATTCATACAAATACTCGCGGATGAAAAATAACTTGACTCACAGAACCAACCAACGTCTGACACGTGGCAAGAAAACCCCTATCTAAAAAAGCCACGTGGACAGCCTGAGAGGGCAGATAACCCAACTTTATTAGTATAGATTCTTATGTGATTCAAAACTTAAGTTTACATCATTAACGGTCTTTTGTAGTTTCTCTATGATTTGTTTTTGAGAAATTACTTATAATATCACATATTTCTTAAGTAATGACTAGAATAACATACAAAAACTAGGAAATTAAAAGGATAGCATAAAGTCTAAAATAAAGACGTTATGGATATACAAAAAAATCTAGTAATTAAAACTAATTGTATATTATTTTAGTAATAATAGGATGATTTGATGTTATTTTAGTAATCTCCCTTTGTTTTTTCAAGGAAAAAAATCATCTACATCTTTCTTTCATATAGATTTCACAATAACATTGCACGCCATCAAATAGCCAACCATTTTCAAGTCTAAAGCGCTTCCATATGTAGAGGTGTTTACATTCATGAACACCAATAAATTAGTGTTTTGAGACATAAGTAACTTTTTCAAACTCAAATCTTTATCACTAATAGTTTACTTGATGGCTTATATAATTTCATGAGAAGTTAATTGCCTCACTTGACACTCCCCTTGATGACCTCCCGTCAGCCTCACTTGCATAAGTTGAGTAAAAGTCGTCGTCTCCTTGCTCTTTCATTAAATCTTCTATCATCCCGACAACTTCTCTTATATCTAACCTTTTCTCCACGTCTACTTCACAACAAATCAGTCCAATCGTTAAGAGTTTGAGAATGTCTCCTTCACAATTGTTTGTTTTCCCCATTTCTTGATCAAACAAGTCTTGTGTCCATTCTCCTTTGAAAATTGACTTCACCCAACTTGCCATGTCCTCCTCACTTTCTTTATCAGACTGCGGGAAACTTTCAGGGAGCTTTCCTGTTAAAATCTCCAAGATGAGTACACCCAGTTCCCACACATCAGTTTTCTTGGTCACACGGCTTTGCTTCAAATACTCTGGAGATTTGTAAGCTACCATTAGCTCTTGTGCGCTTTCTGCGTTGATAATTGGGATCAAGCCATAATCTGTAAGAAGTGGCTCAAAATTTTCACTAAGAAGAACATTGGATGACTTAAGATGACCATGAGGTGCCATTAGGCTAGGCAGGTTTTCATGTAGGTACAGAAGTCCCCTTCCGACACCTTTCACTATATTCAATCTTGTTGGCCAATCCAAGTTTGTCTGTCCTAACGATCTATGACCTGTATACACACACAAAAATAAAACGATTTGCAAGGAAAAGGGAATTTGTTACTGTTAATATATAAATAGAGAAAACCCAAAATATTACCATGGAGAAAAGTAGCCAAGCTTCCGTTCTCAATAAAATCACAAACAAAAAGTTTTTCCTCCTTCTTATAGTAATAAGCCACAACTGGGAGCAAATTTTCATGGTTTAGCCTCCCCAATCTCTTCATATGGTCTTGGAACTCTTCAGGTCCTGCACTATCCATATGTTTAAACCTCTTCACTACCATCATAGATCCATTCAAAAGCAATGTCTTATACGATGCTCCGAAACACCCGCTTCCCAGAATCTCTGCAGATGCTTTCAACAAATCTTGCAAATCAAAATTTCCCTTGTCATCTCTCAAGAACAACAATTCTGTGGTATGAATCATCCTCTTTGCAACACGTTTTTTTGAACGGAAGCTATATTGTCCTTTATCACCTTTATGGATTCCAGATCTCCTCTGTAAACTTAATGGACCAGGTTCTGGTGACATTAGTGGCTGCTTGTTTCTTCGCCTCCGACAAAGCACAATGATTAGTCCAAGAAGAATGAGTAATGCCAGTATCGCTGCTACCCCTGCGGCTACAATGTACAAAAACTTTGATGTTTTTTTCTTTGAACTTGCCTTAGGCTCTCCAGAAAGGTTGTAAGGAGAGTAACATTCTGTTACCAACGGTTTACCACATAATTCTTTGTTGCCTGCCAAAGATCATTATCAGTCAAACCGATAAACAAAAACATAACCCCGTGTCTTATATAGAACACAAAAAAATTGGTGAACCTTCAAATAGTTTTGGATCCATTGTACTGAGAATATTTGGGATTGGACCTGATAATGCATTGTTTGAAAAATTTAACATGTGTAATTTATGTGTAAATCCTGGTATTTTTCCGGTGAACTGGTTCCCGTCAAGTCTCAGCTCCAAAAGCTTGGGAATTTTGGCCACCGATACTGGAATTTCACCATTGAACTTATTGTGCTCGAGATGGATTTTCTTTAGCCACGACATCCCATCAAAAGCATCCTTTGGTATCGTTACATCGAATTGATTGTTTGACAAGTAAATTGATTTCAGGGCACCAAGTTTCTTGAACTGCGGAAATGGACCTCTAAGTTTGTTATTCATGAAGCTGAGAGACCTTAGAGACTTCAAGCCTGTCAACGCCTCAATGTCGAGAGAGCCAGCGAGATCAATATTCTCTAGTCGTATCCCCCAAACATAACCTTGATCACACAAGATACCAAACCACTTGCACGGCGGATTCTTTCTATCCCAACTCTCCAAACCACTTGCTCCCCCTATAACAAGACATTTCTTGAATTTCAGGAGAGATTCGGTTTCCGATATTCCATAACCAGCCACGAAGAAGAGTGATACAATGGAAACGAGAAGGAGAGATGTGGACTCCATGGCCGTTGTAGAGAACGCGCACACGAGGCGCGCCCTCTCAGAAAGACGAACAAAATGTCTTAAGATGAAGAAAGACAAAGCTAACCTGCGATGGATGAAATGACAGAGAAAGAAAAATGAGAAGAATGATGAAGAAGAGAGGTCTGAATCAAAGTATACTAAGAATAGACAACACTAGAAATATTTTTTGGGCCTGTAAAAACAAATGTTTGTGCTTTTAGCTTTGACGATTTCTTTGTTTTAAAGAGATTCACTTAAAGATTTGTGGTGGAGTTTTAGATCTATTCCGCATTTTATGTTTCTCTTTTTTACTTCACTCACTTTTATTTTCTTCATAATATTTATAATGCATTTTCTTTAGAGAACCCCTCATGACCTTTTTTAACGCTAAACTATATACAAATCCCGCGGATATCATTTGGATTTTTTTTTTAATATTACTGAGATTATATTATTTGATTTTTAAATTTTTGGTTTATAATATAATTTTTTCTTGAAAATTAACTTTTGTTTGTATTTTTGGACGTGTATAGAATATATCCACACGTTTGGTTTGTTCTTTATTTTTTTAATCAAACAAATGCTTGTTTGTTAAAACTAAAATATAAAGGGTTAATTTGCTATCTAACCAATTTTCAGAGTAATATTAAGAATATAGCAATGATTTTGACATTATTAGGTGAGTAACATTTTGTTTTATTTTCTGCCGGTTTTGACCTTATACATAAAAGGTATTCGGTAAAAGAAGAAAGTTGATGACGCTTGCAAATGTAATACACGTGGCCAGAAAATTAACATGATTGGTACTATACAAAAATTTCTTCTAACTGAATATATAGTATAGTAAGCGAAATTTTTGTTTTACTCAGCTAACAATGAGTCAAACTATGCATATAACATGATAACACTCAATTAATTATATCAACACTGAAATAAATATGAAGGATGAGTGAACTTTTTTTATATATGATACATAGTATATACCATCCACAAATAATACATAATAGAGGATTCATTCCATTTACATACATAAATTAATAAAATTGATCATCATATAAAAATATTATAGAACTGATATTGAATTGATATATAAATAGTATAGAAACTCTATATATAGCATAATATTATAAACCCTCTTCAACTCCATTTCATTCCCTAAATACTAAACCTTAAATTTTAATCACGAAAATATAAATCATAATCTAATATCAACTCCAATCATTCAAAAACTAAACGATAAACTAATCACTAAACCAAATCTCAACCCCCACCTTCCAAATACTAAACCCTAAATCATAATAACTAAACCCAAGTATAAATCATAAACCCAAACAGAATGGAACGAAATAGATAGAATAGTACATATTAGTGAACAAATATAAACACTCTTTATTAATCATCAAATGGAACAATACATGATAGGGTCACTAAACCCAAACCTCAACCCCCCTTCCAAATACTAAACCCTAAATCCTAACCACTAAACCCCTAAACCCAAATAGAATGGAACAAAATAAATAGAATAGTACATATTGATCAAAGTATGAAATGTCAACTATTACATATAAGAAGTTAATGTTAACCCCAATCTTAACCCCAACCTTCTAAATAAGAAATACTAAACCCTAAACCTTATCACTAAACCCTAAAACCCAATTATTAACCCTAAACCCAAATATAAACCCTAGACCCATATCACTAAACTCTAAACCCAAATATAAACCCTAAACCCAAATCACTAAACCCAAAACCTTAACACAAATATAAACCCAAAATCCAAATAGCAAAATGTGAAAATAGCACATAATATTTTGTAATATTAGACTATATTATATAACTAGGAATTGTAGAATAGACTTGCGAATTTAAATTGGTAAGAATAATTTTTCAAATAATCAAAAATTTGGAAGAAAAGATAGTGGCGATGATGAAATTATGGTACATTTCTATTCTATATTTTTCTAATAGAAAAGAACATCATAATTTCAGAAATTGTCTACACGTGAAACTATAAGTACATTGAACATAATAAATAAAACTGAATAATATAAGTTGATAACGAATTGACAAATAAAGGTTATAAATGTAATAATCTGGAACATTGTGTATAAATGAAATTACATATACACTGAAACATGTAAAATAGTAAAGAATAAAATTATGTTTGAAATAGTATGGTACCCTATACAGTAACTTTCTTTCACCGAATATAGTATAGACGACGAGTCCATTTTCTTCAATTCTTTTTCTTTTTTAGACATGTCGATTCGATTCATTTGGCCTACCGTCATTAATTTTGTCATCGCTTCGGTTTCGTCTTCCTCAGGACGGTCGATTTCAGAATCCAAAAAACCTTCCCCTTTCCGATCCTTGAATACTAAATCCTATAACAAAAATTTCCAAGTAAAATAGAATAGTAACATACAAAATATAGTATAGTAAAACATATTTGCAAGACAGCCGGAACAAAAATTTTTATTGGTTGGTATAACAACGACTACATGCAACAAATGGAATAGAAAGATTGAATAGAATTTCCGATAAATAGAATAGTTTCATGTTTAATCACGTTAGAACACGGAGAATAAAAGTGTACCCTCAACGAACAAGATATTTACAAATTGAAAATTGGTCGGGAAAGGAGACGTAAAACAGTCAACTTTATATTTAACCCAATTGCAGAACCCGAACTTACCGAACTTACCGAAGGTTACAGAAACTCCGGTAAACGGTATCGCCGTCCGATTAGAAACCAACCGACGCAACTGTCATGTTCGTCAATTACTTTGTTTTCTACAGGGGATGTCGCGGAATCAGAGAAAAATAGCCACAGAAAAATAGAAAACATTTTTGCCGGGCTGATTTCACTGCAGTCGCCGATTGGATCTCCGATTCGCTTTGATGGTGGCTCAAATCTCGCCGGAGTGGAGTAGGGGGAAAGAAGAGAAGAGGATCTGATGTGAAACTATTCCATTTTCTCCTCTTTTACCAATTAAAAGTTGATGTCTTGAAGATTGTGGTTCTCCAAAAGACACGATGCCTGTTTTACTCAAAAATATATCTTTTAATAATTTTTTATTTAGCAGGTTTTTCCGGTTGCTTCCAAGGGCAATACAGCAATATTACATATATTTCAAAGGGAACAGGGAAAAGGTAGGGCAATTGGTTAGTCTCTTAATTATAGTTTGTTTGATCGTTATACGGTGCAATTTCCCAAATATAAACACCTTTGGACAAACCTAATACAATAATCTAAATTGTCTCTTCCTTACGACTTTTTGAGTGATCGTCACAATTTACTGTTATTTCGTAATTCCCGGCCGGCACCGGCTCCGACATCAGCTATACTCTTCCTTCTCGTTTTATTTTTTTCTTTGCTCTTATGATTGTTTTCTAACTAGTGATGAAATATGTCGCTTTCTTTTTCAATTATCATTCTCTTTGTTTCTCCGAATGAGAGTTTTTATCCGATCCTGATCCAACAAACTTTGAATTACTGTGTCGGTTTAATTCTGCTATCACCCGTATGTTGATGTCATCTTACTCTTGAAACCTTTTGTTTTCAGTTGAGATTTTTGTTTCATATATGGATTTGGGATCCACGGATAGTTGATTTTGATTTTTCAAATGGTGGGATGAAATTTGTAAATGCAAAGATGACACCGCAATAAGGTAATACAGAAGGTAAACCAAGAGACAAAACAGCAATAGTTTTATTCAAATCTTCTTTAAACAATCTTTACGAGACATTGTTTATTCAGTTTTACACGTCTAGTGTTAACACCCTAACACACGTCACTGAAAGATTCCTAAGCTACTCATTTATGTCTCTCTGCCGTCAAGTACTTCAACCTCTGCTTCAGCACGACCCAAGAACACCTTAAGAACTTATCTTTCTCTCTATAAGATTAGCCTATGTGTCTGTCTCTCTGCAGATGACCCCCTTGCTATCTTATATTTATTCTCCACGTTTCTGAAACCCTAGTCTCCAAGGAACACAATATGGACATCTTTCATAACATTAAGTGCAACTTTTCTTTTCTTGAAATGCACTTATTTCTCTTTCTTTAAGTCATAAACTTGCTCCTCAAGTTTATTCCTCTTGCCTTTTCTCCAAGATACACCCTTGCTCTCCAAGTCTACACGGCTCCAGCTCAGCATCTTGACTCCACATGGTTTTCACCACTCAACCCGACGTCTGCTTCAGCAACTACCTCAGCGACTACTTCAGGGCGGACATCTTACATCATCAATCTCCCCCTTTTAGCTTTGTGTGCCTATCAAGCACAACCTTCTTCTGGTTCAACAACCACGTTCCCCATCTGGAAACTTCCATGCTAATTGTGCTTTTCTCCCCCACGAGATGTGCACCACACCATGCTTTTCTCCCCCATGAGATAAACACCATCTACTTCAGGACGTCCATCACCATGCTCTTCTCCCCCATGAGATATGCACTTCTTGGACAAGAAAGTCACCACTTCTCCCCCTGCATGATTGCATACTAAGCTAAAATACATATGCTTAGATGTAAAGCCTTTCATCACAGTAATCATGATACAGCCCCTGCTGCAGGGGAATAGATTACAAGTACTGCATCACGATCTAACGCACCTGTCGAACTACCTTTCGACCCACTTCCAGGGGAATAGATTACAAGTAATGTCGTAGTAATTGATTTCCTCTTAGCTCGTAGTAATACATTACGTGGAACTTACTAGAATAATTTAGGAGGACATTACTTCGAAACATTTACGAGGATTTTGCTTCGAAATATTTTTTTCCCTATTAAAAAAATATTAATTATAAATATAAATAATATATTAAAAAAAATAAAAAAATAAATAATAAAAAAAATAAAAAAAATATTTTATAAATAACTAAATAATATACAATTAAGTTTTAAAATTCATAATATACAATTGAAAATAAATAAAAACTACGAATGGTGCTCGTGAAATTGGCGAACGAAATCGTCATGGATCGCCAAATCCTCCTCC